TTGCATCGTCTCATAAAAATTACCATTTTAGTTGATATGGACAAACTGTTACGTAACTAACTGGAATGTGACAACTAACTAACATTTTTTAATTTGTCTCTAAACTTACAGAACTGTTTGCACTGAGTTATGTGTTTGACAACTTAGTAAGATGTCAGCAATTAAAATAAAATTAAACTTTGATAAATATATATTCCGTAGTTTAGGCGGCAGATTTTTTTCTTCAAAATGTCATATTTTTTCCATGTCCTCTTATTTGAAGTCTCATTGCTCCTCAATGAATCAGGTAATATATATTGTGGAGTAGGTCTAGTCAAGATGTATTTACCCTACGAAAATTGAATGAAAATATTCATACTTTTTCCAATGGCAACAATGTTAGTGGAAAAATCACCATAAAGTGTAACGTAACTAATCGTGGAATTACCCCTATGGAAAATAATGTTCTAAGGAATTGTCTCATGATTGCATATTGGCCAATCACACTATACATGTAGTGTTTATGCACAGTGTAAAATATATGAATAGAAAAGAACTTTGAATTTACCGAATTTACATGTACAGATGTGTACATCTATATCATAATATGAGATATCATAACACAATATCATCAAAAATATGAGATGCAAATGGATAATGTATGTACCACAGTGTCGAATTGGATTAAATAGTAATAGGCGGACTTATCAAACGTTCAGTTTACCATGAGAAATGGATTTTTACAGTGATTTGAAATGAGGGAAAAATGTTCACAGCAGGCTCAAAAATACTTTTTTTCATGAGGGCTATTTTGAATAATTGGAGGAAAAAAATCGTCCTTGTGAACATGTGCACGGGGGCTATTTTGAGGCTCACAAGGGCTATTTTTTATAACATTGTTTTCAATGCTGAGTCTAATAAATAATAATTCTACCCCCTTATTGTGAAGGCCTACATGTAAGTCACATAACCCCGGCACCTGCACGGTGCCCCGCCATGTCCAAATACGGCAGTTGAATGACAAATATGGTAATTCCCGGGCACTGTATGGGTACCGGGGTCATTATGTGACTTAACGCCATGCACAATAAAAGCAACAGACTGCATTAAATAGATTCATGTCATTCAACATTCAACCAAAAAACTCCAGTCCACATACCCTGTCACTGAGTTATATTTTGGATGTAATTTTCGTAAATTTAGCCCATCAACCATGCCAGTCTGTATCACTAACTTGTCCATCGTGATTTGTGATCGATGTCGACTTTGAATTCAGAGGTGGTTTGCAATCACAACCACACCGGCTCCGAATACTCGGGGATCACAACATGCACAGTATACAGTCTGTGCGTGCACAATTGAACGCATTCATCAAATATGTGAGACGCAAATTTACGCCTGCATAATGCATGCAAGCTGAAGAAGCGCTGATCCTGCAGTTCGTGTAGGTGAAATAATGGAAGTTTCGCACAGCGAAAATGAGCGTTGTGTTAATGTACAAATCTCCAAAATAGCCATATAACCCGCAGAATTTAACGTTAGCGGAATAAAAGTATCGAAAAAAAACGTATCGCAAAGTACTGCAGAAATAGTGCTTAAAAGAAGCAAGGAAACAATTTGGCCAAACTTTCGCTCCGCTTCAGATTCGAAGAAAGTGGGGCCATGGGCTATTTTTCATGTGATCTCATTTTTTTTGCCCCCGTGTTGGTCTTAACGGTTGCAATTTTAAGGCTTACGGGGCCGAATCGCCCCGTCGCTCCCGTGTATTTTTTTTCGCTATTTCACAGGAATCCTACATATATCTGTGATTATCATAGTTTTTCAAATAACCTGATTATACTTTTTTTTACTACATGCAGGGCTCCACATTAAGCATTTTTTTCAAGTCAATAATCGCTTGTCGGACCTTTAACCATTCTTTTTAAATAAATACAGCCAAATTTGAAAATGAACTGGTCCAGCAGCTAATTGTGCTGGTCCCGAACCGTCGGACCAGTGGACCAGTGCTAGTGTGGAGCCCTGCTATACATGTCATTAGTGCTAGTGCATGTGATGCCCTGCTACATGTCATTATTGGTCATTCGACATGAGGTCGCCCACTATCGCGTTACACGTACATGGTAATTTTGCTGTTCATACTGTACACTTTATGTTGTACATGTATGTTAAAACCTTATATCTCAAAAAGTAAGACCTTATCATATAAAACGTATACATTTTCTGAAAGGAAATTCATTACGAAAATATGTCGTTTAAAAAATACCCCACCAGTTTTACATAGGATCCTATGTATATCAGGTGGTAGTCCAGATTCAGTCCGTTCGTTCTTTTTTATCCCCCACACACATCGCGGTCTCTCCACTGATCGCGCAATCCCCAAATTTCCGTCCACACGAATTCAGGACCCAGATTTAGAGGAATGGCTAGGTCTACTTTCAACGTTGAGGGTGTGTTATTTTACCAGCTGATTGGGTGCGCTAAACGAAAACGGTACAGAGGCTGGACTAATCAGGTGGGGAATTGGAACCCCGATTTCGTTCTCCTCATTTAAAATGTGGTCAGCGCCTTATCAGCTGCGGAAGAGAGATTATGGTATTAGATTGCAGCTGCACTCTTCACTATCTTACGTAATAGAGTAAACAAACTCTTACTGGGGCTCTGCCTGAAAGGAAAGGAGAAGTAGGAAATATATATTTTACTTGTTTTAAGATAATTTCATGTCCAAAAGTCACTCAGGATGTAGATGAAAACCAAAATGAAAATTTGAACGAAGTGAAATGACCCAGAATTGGCAAAAATATTAAAAATTTCAACTCTGAAAACTAACCCGTCGAGGCCAGTGCAGGTTTCTTTTTCACCATTCATCTCTCCCTCAATCATGCTTTATCTCTCTCCCTGTCAAGGTCGCTTCTCCATTACATTGCCCAGCGCTTTTGTTTATTCTAGGTTTACTGCTATCTCAGATGTCTGGTAGAGGTGGAGAGCAAAAGGGGGTTTGAAGTTTAAACACTGAATTTTCGTCATGTTAATAAGGAATTCAAATCTGCACTCAGAAACCCATTTAGGTGGAAGAGGAGATTGTTGGATGACCTTGACTTTGAAAAATATGATTTTTTTTTGTGTTGTGTTATTGTCCCGATCATAAAAACTTTGCACATCCTCACATGGCCCCCAAAATATCATATTGTTTAGAAGACACTTAGACCTTTTCAACAATATATAATTGTCTTGGTTTTTCTTCTTTTTTTTTTTTTACTGTAAACCCAGAAAAATAGATGATTCAATTTTTCAAAAAATGCCATAAATTTATAGTGACTTGTACACAGAATGCAGCTTTCAGCTGTTCCAACCCTTGAAAATGGCATTAATTGGCTATAGAACACCCTAAATCTGTTAAAACCTATCTCTTTGATATTAAATGAATATAAGGTTTTGGTTTGATAGCAAACATGTCTGAGAGAAATTTCTTAGTATATTGAAAAATAGAGATTTTGAGCCAAAAAGTTTAAGTGACAACACCCTAAATATGCAAGTTTAGGGTGTATTTCATAAATTTTGGGCACCAAGATCAGACAAACCTAATGTTCACTGATTGATCAATAATAAAGAGGGACATGTCGGCTTTTATATAAAACCATATTTGCCTTCATACCTCATGTATTTACAAAGATATTAAGGTTTAAAAAAATAGCACAAAAGTTTGAATTTTGCCATTGACTTTGTACACGTGGCACCGCTTCCGGCACTACCCTTGATGTTTCTTATTAAAAATGTTATAACTCCACCGTAGAACAACATATGACTTTGAAACTTCCTTTGTAGATACCTTTGTAGATAGCCAATTAACTAAGCTTCAGAATGATACCGAACTTGTTGGCAAAGCTTTAATTGTTCAGAAATAAATTAGTAATTACATCAGCAAACAACAGAAAAGTGTAACAGCACCACCTTTTTAGTGGGCAACCTTATGACACATGACCTACTACATATAGTGCCCCTATGGTGTCGGATGTACGCGGTGTTGGATGTACATTGTACCTCAGACACCATTATATCTCAATTTTAAGGAAACGTGGAGTAAAGGTTTGGTGGTTGGTACATTCCTTTTAACAAACTCACATTTTATTCTAGTTTATTTAATTACCTGGTAGACTTGCTCTGGATTTTTTAAGAAAATTTAAAGATAGATGTTTTCGGTGTCGGACGTACATTGGTATTAGTACCCCACTTTGTACAAGCTGTCGTATCAAAACGAGAGTTTGGTACTCAAAGTTGTACTTAATTTTAAAACCTCTACATTGGACATAAATGAAAACATGTTTATAATAGATTTCATGTTTGTACTGGTCAGAAAATGACTAACATACATTTTGCCAACTTTTTCTAAAAATCTGTGAAAATTTCACACCATTTCAGACACTGGGTTTTCAATTAAATCTCATTACAAAAGTCTGTTTAATCATATATTTATGTAAATATAAGTCCTCTACTTTAGTTTGAGATAATATTTGAACATATTTGACGCATTTGAAAATTTGAGCTCTGGGTTAACCATTTTACGGAATTCCCCAAAGGAGACACAAAAAATGAGTGTGTCACGAATTTATGGAAACATCCATCTGTTATATGGCAAGGACTAGTAATTATGCCATGCTTGAGAGCTGGACTAGGATAAAGCAAATGGATATATGGATATTTTCAGTATTGATTACGCAAGCGATATGTGATCCTTTCATTTAACAGTTTGCTTGATCCAATGTTTTACATCATGGGCCATTTTTAATTTTCAGAGTTTTGAAATTTTGATTTTTTTTTTCCCATTACTTTTGGGGAACCTCACCCACCCACCCCATTTCTGATTAAACAAGATTAATTTGTGTTTCCTTTTTCACCCCTTTTAGGAAAAAGGGGGAATTTAGATTTTCTATTTTTTGTATTATTAAGCTACATGTAATTTCAGGTTTGGCTAAACTGGGGCAAAAAAAAAGATTGCAGCATATATTTTGTCTCATATGTAACAGAATTGATGCATCAAGTGAAGGGAGCTGCTTGGCAAGATACATCAATGATGAAGAAACCAAGCCCAACTGCAGAATGAAGAAACTTGTATTCAACAATGTTCCCCATCTGTGTTTGTTTGCACTGACTGACATCAATCAAGGAGCTGAACTTAGATACAACTATGGAGAGGATGACTACCCATGGCGCAAGGTACTGGCACATGTTTCAAATCCGTATGTTGTTTTGAACCTCAACAATGCTTATCAGTTGAAGCTTGTGAAGCCCTAAATGCACTTTCCTACAAGCTCTTTGAGATACATAATTGTTTTATCACCCACTTTGCTTGCCTTCACCTCTATAATTATTCTAAATTCATAATCATTTAATTCACTAATTCATCATCTTCCACTTCAAACTGCTAGGTTTCGGTCTGTTTAATTAACCAAAAGTGCTAAAGACGGCATTGGAGAAGAGGTAGAACTGCCCCCTCACTTTCAAGGGGGGGGGGGGGTGGCAAGAGTTTCACAACACTTTTGTATCACATGGTGGCACTGAAACATCTTATGTGGTGTTCTTTGCCATCTGAAAAGGCCCTATTACTGGAAATGAAAAAAGAAGGTTCTCACTTCTCACTTCTCAAACTATTTTTGCCCTTATTGCAAAATGTTTGCCGGCGGTCATTGCCCATAGGAAAGTTTTGCGCTTGCGATATACTCCTGCTGCTGACTTGTGGCAGGTCTGCGTCAGACCTGCCGCAGGTTTTAGCTGCAAATTAGTTGTTGTGGCTGATTTGTGGCAGACCTGCGGCATACTTTTAATCATGAATATTTATGACTTCCATGCCTGTGGCTGACTTGCGGCATACTTGCTGCAAACCTGCGGCACACTTTTAATCATGAATATTCATGACTTCCATGACTACAGCTGACCTGCAGCATATTTGTGGCAGACTTCTGGCATACTTATGGCAGAACTCTGACTCTGACATACTTGCAGCAGACCTGTGGCACACTTTTAATCATGAATATTCATGACCTGTGGCTGAGTGTGGCATACTTCCGGCATACTTGTGGCATACTTGCGGCAGACCTGTGGCATACTTGCGGCAGACCTGTGGCATGATTGGGGCAGACCTTCGGCAAACCTGTGGCAGACCTCCGGCATACCTCCGGCAGACCTGCGGCATATTTGCGGCATACTTGCAGCAGAAGTCAGTATTCTTTCTGGCTCATATGAGGATATTATTTGACTTTAATAAAATATCCATTCCATACAGAAATTTTTTAATGGTTGGTCATACAATGTCACCCAGGTCAGCTTTCTGAGTGAGGTATGCTGCACAGTCTTCCACAAAGTTTTGTTCTGGGACTCACTCTGGCACAGTGCTTGCGGCTGACTTTGAGTCTGCAGCAGGCCTGCCGCATACTTTTAATTTTCCTATGGTGGTCATTTGCCTCCCACCCCCTCCCCCCCCCCTCCCCCAACTCCCCCAACTTTTCAAGTAGCTGCTGTGCCTGTAAAGGATTAACCCTAATCCCATTGGGCTTTTTGAGGGTCTTGAAACCATTGGGGGGGGGGGGGGCTATTTTGGCCCCCCCCCCCCCCCCCCCTCTGATCTCGGCCGTTGATCGCGTGTTCGCGCCGAAATTCGGCATGCACATAGTCTGTGACGTTAACTCTTAGATTGCATAGTTAAATTTGTCAAAAATCCCTTCATTATGCTAATTAGGCACTAATTATGCATAATTATGCATGAATTCTAATTAAGAGTAATTAATCACTTCATGAAGCTCTAAATGTGCTGAATTTTGGTTTAGATACTCTTAGTAATGTTTCAGACAGATTATTGAGAAGAAAAAAAATGCCATCAAATTTTTTTTCTTATGTATTTTATTGTTTTTGTGAATTTCTTATGTATTTCTTTGTTTTTTTGGCCTTATTATGTCTATTGTTTTTCCGAGGTAAATTGTTGGGGACATTATTAGAGTCATAAAAAGTACATTTTTTATCAATTTCATCCATTAAAATGAAAATTAGACAAGGATTTATATATATTTAGTGAAAACACAATTTACTTTGACTTTGTACATAAAATCATGTTTTTTACTCAAATTTGGCTTGGCGAATTTTTTTCAAGTGCGCATAGCGTCGGTACCGTATACCCGGTCGTCGCAAATTTGGTCTCAAAAGTTGCGCGAGACTTGAAACTAAAAAGTCAAAAAAATTCATGGCGCGAGCTTTTCACGTTTCAGAATTATCGTGAAAAATGTCGAGGGGGGGCCAAAAAAAGCCCCCCCCCCCCCCCAATGGGAATAGGGTTAAGCCAAGTTTTTGGCAAAGGGAGCAACAATTTTTGTACAATTACACAAAATCCGCTTGCACTGTAATTTTCCATAGAAAGAGTGTAATTTGCTTTGTTTATACAGTATTGAATTATCCTATTGTTATATACAAAGTGGTCCCTTTTTCATTCAAACATGCATTTTATAAGAAATACGTCAAATTCTTTGGCATCAACATCATAATCAGTACAAATGTCCTTTATTTTCCTTTTTATCCACTTTTGTAGGTTGATGTTACAACCAAGCCTGTTACAACCAAACCAACTAGTCTAGGTGAAACTAGTCCTTTGAACCTAGCTATTAGACATGGTGAGTTGTCTAATGCTGCCACTCCGGATCTTCAGCATAAGGGAGAAAGGCAAAGTAGGAGTGTCCATCACGAAGACAGTGATCCATGCAAACCCAGTAAAGCCCTCAGACGAGTTGAGTTTCCACATGCCACCTCTACTTTTGCAGACACTGAGGCATATTCGGCTGGTAAAACAAGTCCCCATCTGGAGGAATGTCAACCACTTAAATCCAGTCTCTCTGCCGATGTTGAGCCAGCTGCCTCTGCCAGTCTAGGTGAAACAAGTCCCTTGGACCAAGCTGTTAGACATGGTGAGTTGTCTAATGCTGCCACTCCGGATCTTCAGCATGAGGGAGAAAGGCAAAGTAGGAGTGTCCATCACGAAGACAGTGATCCATGCAAACCGAGTAAAGCCCTCAGACGAGTTGAGTTTCCACATGCCACCTCTACTTTTGCAGACACTGAGGCATATTCGGCTGTTAAATCAAGTCCCCATCTGGAGGAATGTCAACCACTTAAATCCAGTCTCTCTGCCGATGTTGAGCCAGCTGCCACTGCCAGTCTAGGTGAAACAAGTCCTTTGGACCAAGCTGTTAGACATGGTGAGTTGTCTAATGCTGCCACTCCGCATCTTCAGCATGAGGGAGAAAGGCAAAGTAGGAGTGTCCATCACGAAGACAGTGATCCATGCAAACCCAGTAAAGCCCTCAGACAAGTTGAGTTTCCACATGCCACCTCTACTTTTGCAGACACTGAGGCATATTCGGCTGGTAAAACAAGTCCCCATCTGGAGGAATGTCAACCACTTAAATCCAGTCTCTCTGCCGATGTTGAGCCAGCTGCCACTGCCAGTCTAGGTGAAACAAGTCCCTTGGACCAAGCTGTTAGACATGGTGAGTTGTCTAATGCTGCCACTCCGGATCTTCAGCATGAGGGAGAAAGGCAAAGTAGGAGTGTCCATCACGAAGACAGTGATCCATGCAAACCCAGTAAAGCCCTCAGACAAGTTGAGTTTCCACATGCCACCTCTACTTTTGCAGACACTGAGGCATATTCGGCTGGTAAAACAAGTCCCCATCTGGAGGAATGTCAACCACTTAAATCCAGTCTCTCTGCCGATGTTGAGCCAGCTGCCACTGCCAGTCTAGGTGAAACAAGTCCTTTGGACCAAGCTGTTAGACATGGTGAATTGTCTAATGCTGCCACTCCGGATCTTCAGCATGAGGGAGAAAGGCAAAGTAGGAGTGTCCATCACGAAGACAGTGATCCATGCAAACCCAGTAAAGCCCTCAGACGAGTTGAAATTCTACATGCCACCTCTACTTTTGCAGACACTGAGGCATATTCGGCTGGTAATACAAGCTCCCATCTGGAGGAATGTCAACCACCTAAATCCAGTCTATTTGCCGGTGTTGAGCCACCAGTCACTGCAAGTCTGAGCATGCAGACACTTCCAATTGCCAGTAATTGTTACAGTGCCAACCAAATAGTGACGTCATCTAATGCCACAGCTGTGATTATTGACAGTGATTCTGAAGAATCAGAACCCGATGATCCCGATTATGTACATGACCCTGATTATGTACCAGACTCTGCAAGTGATGGTGATGTTAGCTGTTCTGATGACATCTTGCAGATTCCAGACACTAGACGCAGAAAAAAAAATTCCCCCGTTGTTGATAGTGATGATGGTAGTGTTGAGTTTGACTGTGAGCCTAGAGAATCCAATGGGGCAAACAATCAACAGGCTGAATCTTCCGATTGTCAAAATCCCAAGGTCTCCAGCTCTTCATGTGAGCAATCTGACATTGAGGTCCTCTGCACATCAAACGAAGAGGAAAGACGCAGGTGGGATAAGCCACAGTTCTGTCCCTTTTGTTTGGTGGGGCAAAAGAAGTTGCCTCGACATCTTACTACAGAGCACAAATATGAACCACAGGTCAATGAATGGCTTGGAACAAAAGAGCCAAAGAAACGTGCAAAGCTCCTGACGCTCATGAGGAATTACGGGAATTTTCTCCATAATCATAAAGTTCTAGAGGAGGGAAAAGGTACACTCATAGTTGTTTATCGGCCAAAATACAAGGCTAATGCTCGAGACTATTTGCCTTGCACAAGATGCTACGGCTACTTTGCGAAAAGTGACCTGTGGAAACACAAATGCAGCCAGGCAACTGATGAATCAGATGCTACTGATGAACCCGTTAAAAAGAAACGAAGGACTGGACTTGCAAAGGCAAGTAGAATGATGCTGCCTATCACTCCTGGAGTAAGCAAGAGAACACATGAAATTTTAGCCACCATGAAGGATGACAACATAGCTAGGGTGGTCAGGTCGGACAGGCTAATACAATTGTTTGGTGAAAAGCTGACTCTGAAGCATGGACACACCAGGGACCAGGAGGGGTATATTAGGCAGCGATTACGTGAGCTGGCACGGATGTTGTTTGAATATAGAATTCTCACAGAGCAGCCAAATGCTCAAATGGAAGACCTTATATGCCCAAAGAAATTCCATGACGTAGTTAAGGCTACAAGACAAGCTTCAGGATTCAATGGAGACGATAACATCTACACAACTCCAAGCCTGGCTCTAAAGATTGGGCACAGTCTAAAGACATGCACTGAGATACTTCGAGGGGAAGCTCTTGTGTCTGGTGATGAAGCGGTTGAAAAGAAATCCAGAGCAGTTGCTGAATTGTACAGTTTGCACTGGGAGGGGGAGGTGAGCCACCACGCTCTGAGAACCCTTGAAGAAGCCAAACGCAACAACCCCAAGATACTCCCATTGACAGAAGATGTTGTGAAGCTATCTAGGTACCTTCAAAACCAGGCAAAGACAAATCATGAAGAGCTACTGAGGTCGTCTGGGTCTGAAATGCAGAAAGCATGGGTGAAATTAGCTGAAGTCCTGCTGTCTCAAGTAATCGTCTTCAACAGAAAACGATCAGGCGAGGTGTCAAGAATGACACTGAATGATTACAACAAATGTGCTAGAGGGGAGACATGTATAGTAGATGGGGCCCTGTCTGTAGTTGAGAAGGCACTGTGTAAGGCACTATGGAGAGTAGAAATAATTGGGAAACGTTCCCGCACTGTTCCTATTCTCTTAACCACCAAAATGAAGGCAGATCTTGACACTCTAACTGAATGTAGAAAAGAGGCAGGCTTAGATCACAACAAGTACCTGTTTGGTATGCCGGGAGGTTCTGGTCATCTGCGTGGAACAGACACTCTTCGAAATCATTCAGCAAGGTGCGAAGCAAAAAACCCGGAACTTCTGCGAGCTACCAGACTTCGGAAACACATAGCTACAGTATCTCAAGTAATGAACTTGCAGGACAACGAGCTGGACATACTCGCAGGCTTTCTTGGACATGACGTACGGACACATCGAGAGTATTACCGCCTACCAGACTCAACTCTGCAGGTAGCTAAACTCTCCAAAGTACTGCTGAAGATGGAGAGTGGGGACATCAGTGGTCTAGCTGGAAAGAGCCTGAAGGATGTGCATGTGGGATCTGATGAGGGTATGAAATTTTAGCCAGTGTTGGAATTGAGAACTTTGTTCCTAAGACAAATATCAAGATGCAGGATTTTATGGCTTAGACAAAATTTTTCATTAGGGGATGACATGTACCTGCAATAGATAAGCAACAAAATGGTGTCAAATATAAGTATGACAGCCTTTTTTTTTTCTAGCCGCTTAAATTCTTATCTAGCAAACTGGTCTTGACTCTGCACCTCTGTATCTTTGTACTGTCCGTGAACACAAAGTCTCAACTCCATCATGACCAAAAAATAAGATTCACTAATTGTATGGCCAATGAACCAATAACAGATTGTTTAGCCTGATTAACCCCATTGGGCGGAATGTATCTAAGGGTATGATGCTCAGAAAATGTCCCCAAAGTAGAAATTATGCTTATTTTCTGGAAATTGATATGTACTTTTCAGAAGATGATTTCTTACATGCAAAAAGATCTTTTCAGGAAATGGTATGATACATAATCTGGGGGACATTTACGTTTAGTAAACACTGTATGGGTATTTATGTATAGCATGTCATGAACTGATTCTTGACAAAAGAAACCCATATTGACAAAGATAGTCATAGTACCGCTTAGGGCCTGTTTCGAAAGTGATTTTTTTCTCTAACGTTTACACTCTTGGTTTTTTTGGACGGGTTCACATGTACATGTACACTGTAATAAGATCTTCTTATTCGCTCATAGTTATCACTATCAATTATGACAGCTAAGGCTAGTATTAAAGACTGGCTCCACTCCAGAAAAATCAGACGAACAGATTAAAAAAAGTTTGAAGCAAATCGGAAAATGAATAAGAAAGTTATGACTATTTTAATGATATTGAAAAATCCATTTCGACATTGATTTTTCACGCAAATTGGCAACCTTTGGTCACGTGTGATGACGTACATCATGCACTTCTCGACTGTTAGCTTACGGATATTCTATTATTATCATCATTGTTTTTAAGAATCCGTTTTAATCTTTAAACGTAAAGTCACTTTTCTTATCGATGTGTTCATGAAGTTCAAAACCATCAGCGAACGTAACTTTAGCTAATGAATTCCATGTAGAAAAATAAAAGGTATTATGTTTGGATTTATAAGATTTAATATAATACATTTAAGATAAATAAAAAATAATTAATGAGAAATACTGTTATAAATGTTGATCTATTACTAATTACAGGAGAAAATAATGTCTTATTATTATTTACATATTTCCACTGATTTTACGATTATCCAATCTTGGAAAAAAATGGATTACCACTTTTATTCTTATGTATTTATTTGTTTTGACAATTTCTTATGTTTTATATTATTTTAATTGTTATGTATTTCTTTGTTCCATGATATTTGTGCCATTACATAGATCTTCAGTGAGAAATATTTGGATACCACAATCATTATTTTATAAAGTTATTTTAAATAAGTAGACGATCTAAACTTATCAATGAAAGCAGAAAATACACGAAATATGTAAATTTTATTATTTTTATTGTTTATTAAAATCATTATCCATTATAATTACTTTTATTATAATTGCTTTTCAATATTTGAACAATTGAATTATTGCATGCTAATGAATCCGTGCATTAATCGACGGAAATAGACTTTTGTTTAGCATTAAAGTGTTAACAAAGGATGGTATAAAACAATAAGGTATAATAAGTTGCTTGCAGAGAAGTGCATGATATACGTCATCACACGTGACCAAGGTTTGCCAATTTGCATTAAAAATCACTGTTGAAATCAATTTTTAAATTTCCTTTAAAAAATCATAACTTTCTTATTTTTTTGTTTTTGTTGATCTGTTTGTCTGATTTTTCTGATTTTAATAAGAACAAGATTTTTATGCCTCCGCCACCGTAAGGTGGTGCCGGAGGCATTATGTTTTCGGGTTGTCCGTCCGTCCGTCCGTCCGTCCGTCCGAAGCTCGTTACCGCGATAACTTAAGAACGCCTGAACGGATTGTTACCAAACTTGGGTCAAGTATACATGAGCATGTGAGGATGAAATGATTAGATTTTGGATGTAGGAGGTCAAAGGTCAAAGGTCACAGGGCCTAAAAACTTGTAAAAAATCAGCAAAAATAGATTGTTACCGCGATAAATTCAGAACAAATGAATAGATTTTCACCAAACTTTGCTCAAGTATGCATAAGCATGTGAGGATGAACTGATTAGATTTTGGGTTCATGAGGTCAAAGGTCAAAGGTCATGGGGCCTAAAAACTTGTAAAAAAATCAGCAAAAATAGCTTGTTACCGCGAAAACATCAGAACGAATGAACAGATTGTCACCGAATTTGGCTCAAGTATGTAGAAGTAGGTGAGGATGAACTGATTAGATTTTGAGGATATTATTGAACTTTTTTTCAGTTGCACGTCGGTGTATATTTTTGATCCCTTGGTGTTAGTGGGGCTTTCTGATCGCGTGATGGAGGAGGCATAAATTTCGACCGTGCGCGGACGAGGATTCATCTAGTTCTGGAGTGGATCCAGTCTTTAACTGCCCCTATCCCTGGAAGTGGGTGTGGTATGATTTATTTACAAAACTGGATTGTTACTTTGGTGATTAAAATTCTTTGGGTTTGATAAGCTCATTTTACGGTCAATTAATCCCAGTCACTTGCATTTCACTTTTTCACCTGTATCATCCTTGGTCACTCAGAGCAGGGTGGGCAAAGGTTAAAGTTTAAACTTTTGTTTATCATAGGGGATTTAGATTTATTATTAGACGTTCAGTGACATCTGTTAAGTATACACGTTAGGTGAAATGTCTACTCTAGTTTCACTTTTATGGACATGTACACGTTTACACATATTTTCGAAACAGGCCTAGTACTGATAAGTGGTTACAAGTTGTAGTACCTATCTTCCCTAGATAGAACTTGCAACATAAGTAATGTCGACTTGTATACTTTTGAAAAATTGTTTATAGAGTGCCTGTGCAGTTCTGATGATGGAAGTGAAGCAAGTGATAGTGAATCCGAGTTGTGCACACCCGTGGTAGAGGATAAAGGTAAGATTAGAGAATTCTAAGAACTTCATGAGCATTTTAGCAATTTAATGTAAATTTACTGAGTAGTGAGAAAAGAGCTTGTTACATGTACTGAAATGCTTGCCTGTTTATCTTTATTACCTCCACCAATGGAGGAGGTTATGTTTTTTGTTACGGTTGGTTTGTGTTCGTTCGTTCGGTAGTTATTTAGTTAGTTTGTCCTTGTGCAAAATAACTCCAAAAGTAGTTAACGGATTGAGATGAAACTTGCAGGAAAGGTTGGGAATGACAAAAATACCAATCTATTGAAGCTAAAATTTAGTTTTTAGTAAACCTCAAAAAAACATCAGCATTTCCTATGAAACCAAGTAAATTATATGCTGTGTTACCATATATGATATATTGCAGTCTAACACTTGTTTTAAGCAATACCAAAACCAAATTTGGAGACAAAAATACAGCACTCTGAATCCATCAGTTTCCGCAGCTCAAATAATTTTCTGGAATTTATTGCCTTTTCCTGGAATCTTCAATACTTGACATTCCTGTGATAAATGATGATCAATAAGCCTCATAATGACTCTGCTAGTGTATGCACTTATTTCAAAATCACAAAAAAAGGCTTCTTTGCGTGAGCAACGTTCTGGACGAGAAATAGGTGCCACTTTTGGTGTAGTCTGGTTGTCTGCTTCTTCTTCGCCATTTCTTGCCCGATTTCAATTCCGTTTTTGCTTAAAGACTGGCTCCACTCAAGAAAAATCTTGTTTTTAATGAAGCAGAAAAATGAGACGAACAGATTAAAAAAAGTTTGAAGCAAATCGAACAATGAATAACAGAGTTATGGCTACTTTAAAGGGGAGGTCTATGCGATAATTTACTTTAAAATTAATATAGGGCAAAAATCAAGCTTTCAGAAAATGTCTTACTTGACTCTGTAGACCCATGAATAAAGGAGTAATCACTGGAAAATCGATATAAGCAAAAGTTCTCGCACGAGCCAGTTTTACCCGAAATGCATTACGCTACACTGTCCGCATGACGTCAGTGTCGCACTTTTGTTGAGCAAGCAGTCAGAAATCCCACGGCTTGAGGTTCAAACACCAATATTTCTACATTTTTACATCAAAATTGTCAGCTCAAATATCTTGAATCAATTGAGCATATATCACCCTATGTGTCAAGGGTTTCAGAATCGGAAAAGTGGTCATTTTCCCCAAGAACTCATAAAATTTGTGCAGCTATACCCTTGAAACAAAAGTCACAGCAATATCTTGCATACAGCCAATGGAGAAAGTTCGCACATGTGCAGTCTTAGTGCGACAATGACATCACATGGCCATCGCACTTTGGCAATGCGAGAACTATTTTAGAAATACAGTCAACTCTGCCTAAGTCGAACTTGTCTATGTCGAATAATTGCCTAAGTCGAAATAAATTTCTGGACCAAATGACAACAAACCTGTGTTATTTACTTCTTCTAAGTCGAAATTCGCGTAAGTCGAACAAATTTTTGTGGTCCCAAGAGATTCGACTTAGGCGGAGTTACCTGTAATTACAATTACAAAATTGGAGCTTAAAAATCACAAAAGTAACGCCCGTGGATGAAAGTGGTATCAGAATGCTCCTTGATTTTCAAGCCGTAAAATAGATTTTTTAGGAAATCGTCTAGACTTCCCCTTTAATGATATTGAAAAATCTATTTTGACAGTGATTTCTCACGCAAATTGGCAACCTTTGGTCACGTGTGATGACGTACATCATGCACTACTTGAATGTTAGCTTATGGTATCTTATTATCATCATCATTGCTTTTAGCAATCCGTTTTAATTATTAAACACAAACTCACTTTTCTTATTGACGTCTTCATGAAGGTCAAATCCATCAGTGAACGTAACTTTAGCTAATAAATTCCATGTAGAAAAATAAAAGGTATTATGTTTGGATTTATAATATTTAATATAATACATTTAAGATAAATTATAATAAATAATAAGAAATATTGTTTTAACTGTTGATCTATTAATAATTACATGATAAAATAATGTCTTATTATTATTTACATATTTCCACTGATTTTACGATTGCAATCTTGAAGAAAAAAATTGATTTTCACTTTTATTCTTATGTATTTGTTTTTACAATTTCTTATGTTTTATATTAATTATTTTAATTGTTATGTATTTCTTTGTTCTATGATATTTGTGTCATTATATAAATCTTCAATGAGAAATATTTGGATACCAGGCTTATTTTATAAAGTTATTTCAAAAGAGTAGCCAACCTAAACTTATCAATGAAAGCAGAAAAAACATGAAATATGTAATTTTATTATGTTTATTGTTTATTAAATTCATAATCCATTATTATTGCTTTTATTATTATTGCTTTTCAATATTTGAACAAATGAATTATTGCATGCTTATGAATCCGTGCATTTATCGACGGAAAGAGACTTATGTTTATCATTGAAGCGTTAACAAATGATGGTATAAAACAATAAGGTATAATAAGTTACTTGCAGAGAAGTGCATGATATACGTCATCACACATGACCAAGGTTTGCCAATTTGCATGAAAGATCACTGTTGAAATCAATTTTTAGATTTCATTAAAAAAATCATAACTTTCTTATTTATGGTTGGATTTGCTTCAAACTTTTTTTGATCTGTTTGTCTGATTTTTCTGCTTTCAATAAAAACAATTTTTTTTTGGAGTGGAGTCAGTCTTTAATATGATAGCACTGGGTGGGGGCTTCGAAACTTCGACATAGAATTTTGAAACTCATTAAATATGCTAATTTATGTGCATATTTCAAATATTACAAAAAATGCTGCTTCTTTATCATTTCTTAACCGAATTTAATTCTGTTTGCTTTATGATAACACTGCTGGCTGGCAGATTCCCATCAAAAATTTCCATGTAAAAAAAAAACTTAGTTCATGAATGCATAGCAATGATCTGATGTATACATTTAGGGCAGTTGAAAGTGATCTTGCTTTTTCTTCATTTCCTCAGCTCCATGCACTGCATCCACCCTCCCCCCTACTCCTCCCTTTGCTCATTCTCCATCTTCTTCCATCCACTATTCTTCTATTCCACTTTGCACTTATATATTCCCTTCTCCTCCTCCTCCTCCTCCTCCTACTCCTACTCCTCCTTTCTCCTCAACTTCTCATTCATCCTTGCCTTCACCTGCTTTTCATCTGTCTGATCCTCTTCCCCGTCTTCCTATTGTTCTGCATCCCCATTTTCGTTTTATGATATATTTTTTTCTTACTTCATTATTTGTCCTCTTGTTCCTCTTCCTCATTCTTCTTATTTTAGTTTATGTTTAGGAATATATGAATAAGTTCTTGTGCATTTTCATTTTTTCCCCTATTTTTCATTTATGGGGTGGGGTGGGGGGGGGGGGGGGGAGGATACTCATCAGGGGACTGACCTCTTAGTAAGTACATCAACTCATTACTCTGATTTGTCTATGATGATTTATAAATAGCCCTTTTTTGTCATATTAATGCTTAATTCTTTCTGTTAGTCAAATAACTAACTCTGCTAATTAAAAAAAATCTGGCAAAACTTCAAAGGCACCCCAGGAAAGTACAAAGTATGCGGACACCTTCCGGCAGACCTTTGGTAGACTTGCCGCATACTAAAAATAAGCGGGAAATCTACCGAAGGTCTGCCGTTAAAGTTTTTGTTTAGGAAGCTCTCATTTCTCTATTTCTCAATCAACTTTTGATACAACTTGATACAAATGATCCTTGGGTAATACAAGATGTGACGTATTGATGATTATGATGAAGTCAAATGTCATCTGTTGGTCAAAAGGTCAAGTGAAATAAGGTTATGTGGTTACAAAAATGTTAGATGCACTCATTTCTCTATTCCTTAACCCTTTGAGTGCTGGCCTGTGCTGCTGGTATCAATGAATCTGGTAGTATTCTTAAATGAGAAGGCTAATTAATCTCATTTAATTATTTGTTTGGGTTTTTATTCAAGGTACAAGGAAATATGATACCTTACTTCTTTGGATAATGTAAATATTTTTCTTGAAAACGCCAATTAAGAGTCTGTAATTTAGAGGTGAAAAGCCAACCTCATTTGCCAAAGCCTCATTATTGGGCTTCTGTAGAAGCCCGTCGCATCTTTTATTTTTTTTACTTGGTACAAATGATCCTTGGGTAATACCAGATGAAGAGTGATGATGATGTCCAAGATCATCTAGGGGTCAAAAGGTCAAATTTGTTAGTACATTAATAGTCTGTTTTAAAAAATGTTATAGGTTTTCTTTACTTCGGTTGCAGTTCTCTATTTCTCAATTATTTTGAAACTTAGTTCAAATGATCCTCGGGTAATACCAGATGTGGGGTGATCACAATGAGGTTAAAGGTCATCTAGGGGTCAAAAGGCCAAGTGATATAAGGCCTTGAGCCTTTGAAAGTTCTTATACATGTTTTAATATTGATCGCAAATTCAGGCGAGACTCATGGTCCGCGAACCACCTTGTTGATATCTCAAGATCTGCAGGTATATCCTTGGAGGACAATACTTTGATTTGATTTGGGGGTCATGGGGTCAAAGGTCACAGAGGTCAATTTTTGAAAAAGACAGTTTTTTACAATATGTTGCACACAATTTGACATATGAACTTGTAACTTGGTGGGATGATAAAGTATAAGAAGAAAAAAATTTGGCTAGTAAATTGGGGTCAAGGAGCCAAAGGATAATTTATTGTAGAAAATAAGATTTTTTGTCTACATCAAGAACCGTGTGGCGGTTGGACCTCAAGTATGGAGTGAGAGCATATCCTATGGGGACAATAATTTGATTCCATTTTGGAGTCACAGGGTCAAAGGCCACAGAGGTCACTTAGTGGAGAAAAAATAACAATATCTTATATATAAAATTGTGACTCGGTGTTGAGGGTTGTGTATGACAAGACAAAATTATGCTGATATTTTGGGGTCATGGGTTAAAGTTCAAAGGTCATGGAGGTCAATATATTGTAAAAAAAAAATTATGTTGATATCTCAAGAACCGTGTGGCAGTTTGACATCAAACTTGCTGCTACATGTATATGGTTATTGTATAGTAATTTTCTTTTTTATTGATCATGCACTCGGCGGCGGCATATATTTTGGTTGAATATGGTCGAATATCCATCTATTTTTTATTTATTTTTTTAGTTTTATCCATCCTTTTTACTGTTCTACTCTGTTGCAAGTACAAATTGCATCCATTTCTTTGTTGGATGCCTGATGAGCATCTTATCATTGATGTGCTAGTTACAACAGAATTTGTGTAGGAATTTCATGAATTTCATCTTCTATATCCTTTTGTTAAGGTGATACAGATGTTGCTGAAACAGTAGGCACCAGCAAACGCCAGACAAAGAAGATGTGGAGTGATGCTGAGAAGGAAGCTGTCAACAGGCATCTGGGGATTTTCTTAAGAACAAGAAAACTTTGTGGAAAGGATCCAATCATCTCTGCGATGAAAGCTGATCCACGCATCTTCAAGGGTCGCACATGGACAAATATAAAGGATTTCGTGAGAAACCAAATTAGAAAACGAGACCCTTTAGGATTTCTTCAGAAATTTTAAATGAATGAGGTGTTACAGTCAGGCATGTTACCACAATTATGAGGTTCTTTGTATGTTCTTGGTTGAGCATTGCTTGTAGGGGAAGCTGTGCTTTAATGCTGAACTGATGTGCTGGCAGGTACAGTCTGGCAATTTTTCATTGTCTGCAGTTCACTAAGTTCACGAATGAAGGCATTTGTTTGAAAGACAGTAACTTTACCCTGAAATGCAAACTGTTATGCTGAGGGTTTCAAAAGTACAGGTATATAATATGATCTTGAAAGAAGAGTCGATCAAAAATAATTTCTTACAAGAAGCAGAAAAAATTGGCAAGCAAAACAAAAGAGTTTGCGGAATATTGGACAACTAATAACAAAGTTATGATTAATGACTTGAAAAAACGGGCAAATCACTGAAAATTTTCAGGGATGTTGCCAATTTGTTGATGTTATGGGTGCACAACTCACCATTCAATTCATATATATTCACAGTGCAAAATTCATCATTTTTACAGAAAGATACAAATCTTGTACTAATGCAAACATGCAAAAAAGGGGGCCACATACCTACCAAGAAGATATCCTACAGTTAGAGTTTTGAGGAAATCATAATTTGGGGGTAAAAAGTTACATTTTATAACATTGATATCAATATGATAAATGGTCAATTGTGCACCTATGATGTCATCAATTGCCAATTTGTCTAAATATTCAAACATTCATAACTTTCTTATTAATTGTCCGATTTCACTCAATCTTGTTTTGTTGTTCTGCTCACAAAAATTTTCTGCTTCTATTGAAAAGATATTATTTTTGGGTGGACTCTTCTTTTAAGTACTTTGAAAGTTGTGTAACAGTTAGAGCTGTTGGCAATCGGGCTTTTCTGCAGTATGTAGCATTGGGGGAGGGGCAATCCCCCTGTGGGAACCTATCCCCTTTGTTGTCCTGTGTTGAATTTAAAGTTTGTAGTGTTGGGGGTAGGGCTACCTTCCAGCCAAATCCAGTGTTAAATGTAGAGGGGAAAAACTAGGTACAAAGTTTGAGGCTTACGACTTGTAAAATTACATTGTGAGGAAAGTGTGAAAAAAACAAAGAGTCCTTGCTTGTCAGTAGCACATTTTTATACAAAATTGTTAAAGGCCCCTGCACCCTATCAAAATTACCTCTTCAACCTTATTAATAGCCAAGTTCCCCCCCCCCCCCTTTCAACGAAAGAGGCTGTTTTGTAGCTTTGTAGTTGACTTCAACTCAGTAAATAGCCAATTTCTCATTTACATTTCTGATGACATGTTAACATATTTTTTGTCTCCGGCGAACAAGCAGGGGACTACGAAATGGGCTCCGTACCTTTGTGTGTGTCCATCTTTCTGTCTGTCCGTCCATGTTTGATCAAAATGCTACTTATTCGCCATTTCTCACCAGATTTTGATTCTGTTTTCTTTATGGGATGGCTCTAGGTGAGATCTTCAAAACTTTTGCCCCAAATTTTGACCTTTGACCTTGATTTTTAACCAATGTTCTACATTTTGCTACAAATGCTTTCTGCACTGTAACTTAAATACTGATTGGAATTTCAAAATTTTTGGTATATAGTTACAGAATGATAAAATACAGGTCAACTTTGTATGGAGTCTGTTGGTCAAAGGTAGGTCACAGCTCTTTAAATATGCAAAAAAAATCATTTATGCAAAATTGTGTTTCTGTCCAATAACTCAAAAAATCACCAAATTTGGTGTCGATGGGAAGTAAATACAGGTCAAGTTCAAATATGGGCTCTGTATGCCAAAAGGTCAAATGTCAAGGCTCATAAAATATGCGGAAAACCTTATTATTTATGCAAAATTGTGGTTTCCATCCAATAACACAAAGAATCGACGCCAAATTTTCACCAAATTTGGTGGGTTGATGAAAGCTATTGAAAATACAGGTCAAGTTCGAATATGGGGTCCACAGTTCAAAAGGTCAATGGTCAAGGCTCATTAAATATGCAAAAAATCTAATTATGTGAAATTGTGGTTTCCGTCCAATAACTCCATAAATCTTTTCCCAATTTTCACCAAATTTGGTGGGTTGATAGTATTGAAATACAGGTCAAGTTCAAATATTGGGTTCGTAGGTCAAAAGGTTGAATGTAAAGGCTCATTAAATATTCAGAAAACATTATTTAATGTGAAATTGTGGTTTCCATCCAATAACTCCAAAAATCTTTGCCCAATTTTCATCAGATTTGGCATGTTGCTTGAAAGTATTAAAATACGGGTCAAGTTCAAATATTGGGTGTGTATGTCTAAAGTTCAAAGGTCAAGGCTCATTAAATATGCAGAAAACCCCGTTATTTATGCAAAATTATTTAAAAACATGGTTTCCGACTGAAAAATAGAATAACCTTTCATAAATCTTTGTATATTTGGGGTATTGCTATTGTTAAGTTCAAATTTGTCAATGGCCAAAGTTCATTAGATTATTTTGAATGCATGAAGCAAGGGCATCTGTGGCCCAGGGACACAATAATTTTCTAGTTTGTTGCCTGAAAAAGTAAATGTGCTCACAATTCTCTACCAATTTAAGCCAGTACTTCTGCAATTCATAGACAAGATTTCAAAGATGTAATTGAAAATATAAATCAGTGCAAATGCCTTTTTACGGGCCATTCGTAATTTTCAATGATTTACAATTTTGATTTTTTTTTTCTTCATTTTTCACCCATTGGTTTGAAAGTGAAATAAATTTCAATTTTCGAATTTGTGGTTTGACACACACCCACAATTTTGTTGGAAAAAAAAAAATCGAAAATTTAATACATTGTGAATTATGAATGTTTTTTATTTCAAAAACTGTTCATGTTCTACACACAAATATGGGTATTAAAGGGTTGTCCTTTTCCAAGTTAGGAGTAATTGAGACACGTTTTTGCTCTGATGCAAACCTTTATGTTGAAGGTTTAACAAACATATTTTATGTACTTTGAGGTTGTGTAAAAGTTTTAGCTGGTGGCAAATGGATTTTTTTTTTTTTTTTTTTTTTTTTTTTTGCAGTGGCATGGGAAGGGGGGGCAGATCCCCCTGTGGGTATCCTTCCCCTTGTTGCTCTCTGTGGAATTTGGGGATTTAAGAAGAGGCATCTTTTCCCTGTTGTGGTAGAGGGGGAAGGGCTGCCTTCCAGCCAAATCCAGTGTTAAATTTAGAGGGGGAAAACCATGTAGAATGTTTAGGGCTTCTGACTTGTAAAAAAATTCCTGGTGACAAAAGAGGTATAGGGAAAGGGTTCTTGCTTTTCAGTGCACACTTTTAAACCAAATTTTAAAACCCCTGTAGCCAATCGAAATTGCCTCTAAAACCTTAAAATTAGATGAGCACCCCCCCCCCCCTTCTTCCCCAAATAGGCTGATTAGTAGTTGAATTCAACTCTTATAAACTTCTCATTTGCACTTCTGACAACGTGTTATGTTTACGGTTATTCTTTGGGATGGGGCTGTCCTGATTATGTTTGTTTTTCTTAGATTTCAAAAGGGCTAAAGCCAAATGTTTCCTGCTCCAAAATAAGAGTTTTCTTTTTACCTTTGTGGAATTGAAGTGAAGAATTCCTAATTCGTTTCAGTGGATATGTTATAAAAAGTTTTGAGTTGAAGAATTATTAATACATTGATCTTTTATATTGCTATAAAAGTTATTAAGCAAAGCAGAAGTATACCTTCAAATCACTGTGCTGAAATTACACGATTCAGTTTTTCAACCTGGATTCATTTAAGTCAAATTTTTAAGTGCTTAATCCAATTTGGAAAATGGGGTAGTTGTAGACCCTAATTTTTGCCACTGGTTTTTCAATAGCAGACCTAAGATCATCTTCTTCTTTGTTTGCATGTGTATGTCCATCTGGGATCTTGGTGCATTTTTTTTTGGGGGGGGGGGGTGGGTGGTCTTCACAGCCTCAGTTCAAGTGGGGTCACTCATGAGATTGAATTGGGGTCGCTCCTTATCACATGCCATCTCCTTAGTATTTTTCTTCGTAGAAAAGTTAGTTTTTATCGATTCATTTATTTCTTAACTAATGTACATGTAGATACAGGTGTAGAAGAAAATGTTATCTTGAAAGTGGTTGATTACTATCAAAATAATGAAAAGGTTATTACACTTTAGAAAACAGACCAATTTGCATATTTTCAACATTTTCTTTTTTGATTCAGAAACTTGAAATTACTAGGTTTTTGATGATGTATGTTACATTTCTTCCACTTTAAGTTGAAAATTTGTTATTTGAGGGGACATTACCTTGGACTCGCCCTATTTATTATTCTTTTCAGTAGAAAGCCACTGCTATGTTTACTAGTGATATTATTTATTTTTCTTTTCAGCAGAAAGCCACTGCTATGTCTAGTGTTTATTATTTATTTTTCATATTTGTTTCCAGCAGAAAACCACTGCTATGTTTACTAGTGATATTTTTTATTTTTTTTTCAGCAGAAAGCCACTGCTGTGTCTAGTGTTTATTATTTATTTTTCATATTTGTCTTCAACAGAAAGCAACTGCTATGTTTACTAGTGATATTATTTATTTTTCTTTTCAGCAGAAAGCCACTGGTATGTTTACTAGTGATATTATTTATTTTTCTTTTCAGCAGAAAGGCACTGCTATGTTTACCAGTGTTATTATAGCAGAAAGCCACTGCTCTTTACAAGTGTTTATTATTATTTTTTATTATTTTTTTTCAGCAGAAAGCCACTGCTTCATGTATGTTTACTTGTTTTCATTTTTAGTCTTTATTGATAAACAACATGACAAATTTTAGCTACACAAACAATGAATGAATGTTACAATATATGTTTACTTTTTAGCAGAAAGCCACTGCTATATGTTTACTTGTTATATTTACTTGACTGTGTTTATTATTTATATTTGTCTTTATTTGGAATTTGTCTTTATTAGCTGGAATCCATGAATCTCTATACATCTCATCAGGAACATTTCAGTATACCTTGTGTCAAATATTGTATTCTTCAATGACCTTGCTATGCCATCTCTCATACTGGATTTTGTCAAAGAAATAAAGTTTATCCATAAAAATATAATTCACAAAATGAATACTGCATCATCATTAAGATGATCGTGATACGGTTGATGACGATGATGATAATGGTTGTGGTGATGATGATGATGATGATGATGATAATGAAGATGATTATGATGGTTGTGATGATGATTATGATGTTTATGATGATGGTGACGATGATGATGTTTATGATGATAATGGTTGTGATGATGATGGTGATAATGATTACGATGATGTTGACGATTACAATGATGGTGATTATGATGACGGTAATGATGGTGATTATGATAATGTGATGTTGATGACGATGAGGGTGATGAAGGTGATAATGATGCTGATCACTATGATGATGAGATAATGTTGATGGACTTGTGTGTGTGCGTGCGTAATATTCTCGAGATAATCCAAGGAAGCGGAGCGATGGTGGGGGGGGGGGGGGGGTGAATACTCAATCAGAGTTTAGGCCTTCCTGTATATTCTATATATTCTATTCTATATAAGTGAGCAAATGAAGCTGGAAATCCCCCCCCCCCCCGGCCCCCACCTCTTTCCTGCTTGTAATTTTTTTTCGGATGAATTATGCATAAACCTACAAAACCTGCAACAGTGGACCCTATTTACAGACCATGTCACCGTGGACGTTAGACCTGGCAATACACACCTCTTCTTTCCAAACCTGCAACAGTGGACCTCTATTTACAGACCATGTCACCGTGGACGTTAGACCTGGCAATACACACCTCTTCTTTACAAACCTGCAACAGTGGACCTCTATTTACAGACCATGTCACCGTGGACGTTAGACCTGGCAATACACAACTCTTCTTTCCAAACCTGCAACAGTGGACCTCTATTTACAGACCATGTCACCGTGGACGTTATACCTGGCAATACACAACTCTTCTTTCCAAACCTGCAACAGTGGACCTCTATTTACAGACCATGTCACCGTGGACGTTAGACCTGGCAATACACACCTCTTCTTTACAAACCTGCAACAGTGGACCTCTATTTACAGACCATGTCACCGTGGACGTTAGACCTGGGCATACACAACTCTTCTTTCCAAACCTGCAACAGTGGACCTCTATTTACAGACCATGTCACCGTGGACGTTAGACCTGGCAATACACAACTCTTCTTTCCAAACCTGCAACAGTGGACCTCTATTTACAGACCATGTCACCGTGGACGTTAGACCTGGCAATACACAACTCTTCTTTCCAAACCTGCAACAGTGGACCTCTATTTACAGACCATGTCACCGTGGACGTTAGACCTGGCAATACACAACTCTTCTTTCCAAACCTGCAACAGTGGACCTCTATTTACAGACCATGTCACCGTGGACGTTAGACCTGGCAATACACACCTCTTCTTTCCAAACCTGCAACAGTGGACCTCTATTTACAGACCATGTCACCGTGGACGTTAGACCTGACAGTGGCAGTACACACACCTTCTTTACAAACCTGCAACTGTGGACCTCTATTTACAGACTATTATATCAATAATAATAATAATAATAATAATAGTAATAATAGTGTTTTTATACCCAGGGTTGCCTCTTCAGTTCGTCGAACTGTTATCCTAGAGGGCCCTGCTATTATTACCCCTTGCACATTAGCCGTTAGGCTACAGTTGACCCCTGTATTTTAAGACTATGCTACCGTGGACTTAAGGCTTGGCAGTACACACCTATTCTTTACAAACCTACAACCGTGGACCCCTATGCGACTGATTATACCACCGTGGTTAAAGTGCCCTATTAATGTAATTATTATGTATTATTATGTATTATCCCTCCGTTCATCGTCCTCCTTACAATTCACTCTCGGCCCACGTACGAAAACCCGATATGGGGACTGCCTTCTCCCCCATTGCCCCTACCCTCTGGAATAAACTTCCACCTCACATCCAAAATGCCCAATCTGTTGAATCATTTAAATCCCTTCTCAAGACCCACCTATTTAAGCAGCTATATTTTAATTTTGTAGTATATTGTTGGAGGTGCACACCAAGTTAGTTTATAATTAAGTAGTTTGTTTATTATTAATTATGTATTGATTTTTTTAACGGTATTATGATTAGACAGACCACATGTGCGCTTTGAAACACCCGTACAAAGCGCCTTATAAATGTTATTATTATTATTATTATTATTATTATTATTATTATTATTATTATTATTATTATTATTATTGTTATTACCATTACCATTATTATTATCCTTATTGTTACTATTGCCATTATTATTAGTAGTAACATTATTACATGTATTATGATTATTATTGTTATTATTTTTTTTCTCATAATTATTTTTTTATATTGTTTTCTCATTATTATTATCACATAAACATCTATTATTGTTTTCCATCATCGTCCGAAACGCATACTTAAGTCACATTCGTTTGAATTATGCATAATTGCCTGAATTTTCAAAATGTGTCCACGTTAGTATGGTCTTCTTAGGTCCGTGTTTTGTTAGGAGTCAGGGTCCACATTTGGATATGATGGCTATAAGGGTATGTGCATACATGTACGTCCACAGTTTGGATGTGGAAAACATATCTCTCCAGAAGGCCCGCAGAGTTTCTTTCTTGGTGTTTTCGTAATGGTCGTACCAAATGTAACTATAATCTAGCATCTGGTCCGCATGCGCCATTGAATAAAGATGTCCACGATTGTACAGTAAGAAATACATGTCCGCGTTTTAAGGCCTATACAAGTATGTGTGTGTGTGAATGTGTGGCGCGCGTGTGCACTTTGGAAAAAAAAATCAGTGATAGTCATGGGAGTCGTTATTTATACATTGTGATCATAATGTTGAGAGTAGGTACATGTAATCACGAGAGACAGGTAGTATATCATATGAAGAATATGATCTCTATATATAGGATTTAAACATGGTACTGAAATTGCAATCGAGTTTATTTGTTAGCGAAAATAGTTGCCAAAATCGTTTTCTTCCCTCTCTCTCTCTCTCTCTCTCTCTCTCTTTCTCTCCTCTCTCCTGTCTCTCCCCCTTTCTCTCTCTCTCTCTCTCTCTCCCTCCCTCTCTATCTCTCGATTTCCCTCCTCCTTCTCAATTTCTTCTACTAAGGATTCCATGCATGAACATGTCAAAAGGTTGAAGCCTTCTGTACACACAGTTTGGCCAACCTGGTTTCACTTGGTCACAACATAACATAATTTTGTTTGGTTAAGCTTGTCCAACAAACCAGTATTCGCTATAATGAGTCCAACCCGAAGCGGGTTAGCAAATTTGTCCTATTCAATGGCTCTGTGAAAGTTCGTTGAATAGCGCAACCATTTTGTTTTTCATGGGCAATATAGGAAATAAAGAGAGAAAGAGAAGGAGTATTTGCATACACTTTGAAATAAGAAAAACATAAATGTCAGTTCATTGCAACCATTCGAGACGCTTCGCCTTCTTTTTAGTCACATGATCTGCATACAATTTCGACAATTAAACTGGACGAACAATGCACAACGTGAACAACAAAACGTGGTATCGTGTGTTGAGAGCTAGAACTCAACTCAAAGTATATGAGTATTTACCCTTTTAACTCTTCATAGACCGTGACAAATGAGACAATAAATATGAATAGAATATAAGCAAAGTCATTTTTTCAGTGCATTTGTACATAACCATGATATAGAAGGAGAATACGTAATACCTTAGATGTAGAATGACATAGAGAGAGAGAGAGAGAGAGAGAGATAGGGGGGGGGGTATGTACACTTATGGAATACTATTGTACGTGCATGGTTTCGCCAGGTGATGGCCTCATCATTTTATGCACATTGCAATTATAACAGAGCGTGTTTTTGTGTATCTACGAGTGAGAGCATGTCATACAAGCGAAGTAGTCAAACAGGAAGATTGCCCGGGGCGGCCCACTCGGTTCGGTACAAAGTTCATGTTCATCACCGACAGAAGTAATTCCATATTTTCCCGCTCATTCGTTCAATGGACAGGAAGAGAGAAAATGAGATAGGGAGAGAGACAGAGAGAGAGAGGGGGGGGGGGTTCTAGAAGAGAGACATAATAGTTGTGATCGTGTTCATCCCCCCCTCTCTCTCTCTCTCTCTTTCTCTCCATTTCTCGTACTAGTTATTCCTTTGTTTTAATATTTATATGTCGTACTAGTTATTCTATAAACATGAAGAAAGGTTAGAGCTATCTGTTCTGTACACACAGATTGGCCAACCTGGTTTCACTTGGTCACAGCATGGTGCATATTATTATGGTTTGCGCTTGCCCAACAATGTGATATTCCTATTTTGTGTCAAACTTGATTGGCTCAACTCTCCTAGTCAATGGCTCGGAGAAAGGTTTTTGAATGGCGCCACCTCATTAGTTATGGGCGATTTAGAAAATAAAGAACAATGCAACTTCAGCTGTAATTATAAATTACAACATATCAGTCGTTTAACCAAAAAATAATAATTAGTTTCATAAAAATAACAAGTCCTTTGTAGAAGAAACTTGCGAAAACCTACATGTAAATCATTATTTCGACAGACAATGTAATTTCTATATTAAAGACCTTAATGACATTACACTCAAATGACGCGAGACTAGCGTAGGAAAGCCGGACTATATCCAGGATCATTCATTTGTATTACTAGATAAATTCATCATCTTTCTGTTGGTGATCATAATTATGAGTATTACTATTACTAAAATGTATTGCTCTTTATTTCCTTTACAGCCCATGGACAAAGAGATGGTGCTACTCAAAAACCTTTCACAGTGCCATTGGTTTATAGGAAAGTTTGGAAAGCCCGATTCGAGTTGGGCAACTTTTAGCAAATGCTGCTTGTTTGGACAAGCTTAACCTAACAGAATATATGTTATGTTGTGAACTTGTGACCAAGTGAAACTGAGGTGGTCTAGGTGTGTTTAAAGTATGCTCTGACTACGGCACTTGTACATGGAATATCAAGTTGAAGAGAAACATAGAAACAGTGAGAGAGAGAGAGAGAGAGAGAGAGAGAGAGAAAGAGAAGCAG